ACCGCCTATGACTTGTATATCCGGAATAGAGATTTCGGGTTATACTGCTATATCGAATGAGCCTACAGGGTCACACACGCAGGGAAGGACAAATGCACGAGAAAATGTCGAGAAATCTGGACAGAGGTTCGGACCGTCCGGTCTAGGAGTAGACCGAACGAACCTGAGCATCTAGTCCGAACGGACCAAATTGTTGGACCGAATGGACTAGATAGTCCAGTCCGAACGGACTAAATTGTTGGACCGAACGGACTAGAGAGTCCAGTCCGAACGGACCAAGTGTTAGACCGAACGGACTGACTTGTCGGACTGAACGGACCAAGTTAAAAGACTGGTTCGAACGGACCAAGTGTCCAGACCGAACGGACTACTGAGCAGTCCGTTCGGTCTGGGGTTCGGATTTAATTTTAAAGTCCGGATCTAGGGTTAATCACTTGAATAAGAGGAGAAATAGAACCCTAACACTAAGGGGCCGACCTAGAGAACTTCTTGAGACCTTTTGGAGAGTCTAGAGGGCACAAGAAGTGATTGAAGTCACGTTTTCTCAGAGCACATCATCGAATAGAAGATTCGTGTCCTAGCAGACAAGTTCCAAAGGTTGGAATCCATCCCGAGGTGTGGATACATGTAGAGGGCGAGGTATTCTTCCTGCCTATATTGATCGGACGAACACATCAATTGAAACAGGCCCCAGATCGATTGAGGTAAGCGTTCTAACGTTTCTACAAGATCATGCATGATAGGTTTTAGGGTTTCATCAAAATTTTTGTTTTTCATCCGCTGCGCAAACCCTAGAACCGATCTCTTAGGAATTAGATTCGCTCTTGAGATCACAGGAAAACCCAACAGTGCTATGGCCGAGGAGTTCAATGCCTTGCTTCGCAATGCCACTTGGGCTCTTGTCCCGTCTCGATCGTCTTATAATGTGGTTGGCTGTAAATGGGTTTTTCGTACTATGCGACACTCTGATTGCTCTATTGACAGGTACAAAGCTCATCTTGTGGCCAAAGGGTTTCAACAACGGCCTGGGATTGATTACACAGACACATTCAGTCCCGTGGTTGGTTGTAAGTGGGTTCTTCGCCAACTTAATGTCAATGATGCGTTTCTTCAAGGCACTCTTGACGATGATATATATATGACTCAACCTCGGGCTTCATCGACAAATATCAGTCATCCTTCGTATGCAAGCTCCACAAAACACTTTACGGCCTCAACCAAGCTCCTCGAGCGTGGTACAATGAACTTGGTCGGTTTCTCCTTATGTGTGGGTTTATTAACTCTCTCTCTGATACCTCATTGTTCATTCTTACCCGTGATATTGTTACTATCTATGTTCTTGTGTACGTTGATATTGTTGGGTTTCCTGGGATCTCTAGAGCGAATCCTATTCCTAAGAGATCGATTCTAGGGTTTGCACAGCGGATATAAAACAAAAATTTAATAAACCCTAGAACCATGCTTCTAATCAATCGTAGAAACGTTAGAACGCTTACCTCAATCGATCTGAGGCCTGTATCAATCGAAGAACACGTCTGATCACGAAAGACAGGAAGAATACCTCACCCTCTACACGTATCCACACCACGGGATGGATTCCAACGGTTTGGAACTTGTCTGCTAGGACTCGAATCTCTATTCGATATGTGCACCGAGAAATCTCGAGACTTAGAACTCGTTTTTGGATCTCCAAAAACTCTCTCTTTTCTGCCAAAAGTCGGCTCTATTTCATCTCTAACGAGTTAGGGTTTTTAATCTCCTTCTTATAAGGTGATTTAACCCTAATTCGGTTTAATTTTGGAAAAACTGAAGCCCGGAACGAACGGTCCAGAAATGCATGTGGACCGTCCGTTCCAGCACATAGAACGGACGGTCTGCTCACGTGAACCGTCCATTCTGGACTTTTGGTCCGTCCGTTCCAGACTCTTCCGTCTTGGTTTTTCCGTCGTTTTTCTCGTGCGTTTTGTCCTTCCCTGCGTGTGTGACCCTGTAGGCTCATTCGATATAGCAGTATAACCCGAAATCTCTATTTCGGATATACAAGTCATAGGCGGTCTCTAGCAAGACACTATGACTACCTATCTCGAATAGAGTTTGTTCGTGATCTTTACGAACGCCAGAGATGATTCCGGTTGATGATCCTTTTGTATCATGATATCATATGTCGAACATAAGGCATGGACAAGCCACCTTATCTGATTCGACTGCTTTCTCGTTCACTGAGTTCGATTGTCTGAAATAGACGACGTTCGTCTATAGTGCGGCCACACATTTTTACAGTCTCGCTCACACGAGGGGCCCAGCGATATCTCTCTCTTTTACGAGAGGTACAAATCCCGTCTTGACTATCTACAATCCAGCACATGATTCGTTTCGTACCTGATACACGCCTTTATAGTCCTCCTGTTACGCAGGACGTTTGACGTATTCAAAGCACGCAACTCCTCATGTTGGATTCCGTAGATATCTCAGGTCTTAGGATCCAATCATGGAACCGCCATATGAGATTCAAGTCATGACTATTCTTCCTTAATAACAAAAGTATCTTAAAACCTATTTTTTTATCATTTTTTTTCATCGTTTTCTAGTCTTATTAATTTTTTTCTACAATTATTTTTTCTTTCTTCACTTTTCATCTCCACCACCGCTAAAAAAATAATGTTCTTTTTTATATATATTTTTAAAGGAGAATTTGGATATTTTGGATAACAAATAATAAAATTAAAGATATTTTTTATAATTTACCCTAAAAAAATATAAATTCTTTTCTATTTTGACACATCTCATCAAACTCAACAGATACATCTAGATATTCCAGATATTCAAATTCAACGCAATTTCATTATTTCAAACCAAATAATATAGAATTCAATAACATATGAGACTGAGGCAACTAGGCCCAAAAAACAGAGCACAAGGGTCATTCTGGTTTCAAGTCTATATTAAGCTCGCTGAAGTCGGCGTTCGGATCCACATTTCCCGGTTACAACTACAAAGGCTTACTAAAGTCCAAAGATCCCTTTTTTTTCAGACAAAAACATCTGATTCCTCGTACAGATTTCTGAAACCATATGAAAGCGTCTCCCGAGCGCATATTTTGATGTTTGAAGATTTTTACTAAGGGAAGGGGGTACCAGAGGAGGTCATAATCTGTTCATCTGATGAGGAGTCCTATCCACTTGAGATATCACTTGCGGCATCGTCATCCCTACCGACACTATTATCTCTGCAAGACGGCAGAATATATGATTACTTCGAAAAATTGTTTATTTTGACATTCTCTACGCACGTAAAAATAAATAACAAAGGATTTGAGAATGGAAGGGACTGACCTATGCCTTCACGGATGGATAAATTCGGTCTTATGATTTCTTCAGAATTCACGAGGAAGACGTCTCCGATGTACAGATGATTCGTCGGAACGTATACACTGCATAACTCTTCTTCTCCATTGTTGGTCTGTGTATCAATCCAAGCCCAAGTTGTCATATATTTCAGGGAAAGCTCTCCACAATAGCCAATGCACAGCCATCGACAAACTTTTTTATTGAACCAAAAAAGGTGCCATTGTATGTAAATATGCTAGAGGAGCATCATCATTTTTGTTCTGTCCGAAGAAAATAAAAAATATAAAAAAGTCTTACTTGAAGTGTCACGGATGAGGTGATAAACCCAAATGCGTATTCACCAAGACGTGGATGACGGATGATTGCAACCTCTTTAAAAGCAGTGGTGTTTCGGTCTGCAGAGGAGAAAACCAAGGTTACTACTCTCCTAAAGCTGAGGAACTCGGAACACAAGGGCATAAATAGGGCAAAGAATTCGATATAGGCAGGAAATGTGGCACATCAAAAAGTATTAGAAAACCTATACAATTTCAGGGTCATTTTGCACTCCAAATGTAAAGAAAGGCATTGCAGAGAGCTACCAGTATGTTCATGCTTGTGTATGCAAATCATTCTGCCAGTAACTAAACAGCACGAAGGGGTTTATGTATGTTTTTGCTATAAAAACATTTGATGGAAAATCAAACTTCTTAATATCATGCTTGATGAGAGAAGTCTTATATTTGGAGATGGCAGCCATATTGACCGTACAATACATATGCACGAAAACCACAACTGCGAGATAAAACTAAAGTACAACAGACACATCATATACACTTAATTAAAAACCAAACCCACCTGGGGATATCGCAGTGCTAATTTGTTTAGAGGCTGAGTATATGTGCTTCACAAAAGGCATTCGTCTTATAAACTGCTCTCCAAGCCAGAAAACCGTGGAACCCAGCCAAGACGAAGCAAATATCCCAACAAAGAAAGTGAAGAGTACAGATGTAATGAAACCAAGACCTGCACACATCAAACAAAATGAATTACATGATTTGTTGAAGATACACATTATTAGTTGATTTTCAAACTCCTCAAAATCAAGAAAAGCTCCAAAAACAAGTGGGACTGCAATTCTGGGAAATATATACTTCACTAGATATATTGTAGCAACAAAGACTCGGATTAAAAGTGGAGCAACAAAACCTAGTAGAAGTGTGCCATAAAGAGATTTTTTTTTGTATTAAGTTTCTAATCACAACAAAAACCACCACCAATGCTAGTGCTGGGAAGACCAAAGCCTTAAATGCTAACCTAGTAAGATATAATGACTGTGTATTCCTATGCCTAGAATATGATTTTCTCTTTTTTTTCATTTTTTTATTGAATCACAAATAATGACACAGAAGTCAACAAAACTCGAGCAGTAATACGATCAGGAAAAGAAAATCCAACTAGCTACCATTCTTACCAAATATGTCGACTCCAAGGCTCTCATATATTGGACTGAAGAAACCATCAACAAACTGTATGAACCACCAAGTGATGAGGAACGTAACAACTACAGGGAATAGGACGACACTGTCATTACAACCGTTTTTGACTCAGTTAGACCCGAGAGAGATTTATGATAAAGCAACAGTAATATATCAACTGCAATAATGAGTTTCGAAAAATCTGAATTGTGTTTGAGCAATTTACAATCCAGTCATAAACTTCTTGGATACCCAACTCTGCAGAACAGCATAGCAAGCCTGCTCAAATGCAAAAGTCAATTATAAATTTACATGCAGTCAAGCAGATTTGAGTAGACGCAAATACACAAATAGAGCAAAAAAAACAATGTCCTAACAATTATTTCCCCCTCAACCCCATGATCTGATCAGGTCAAAGGGTCTACCTTCATGCACCAGATATATACGGTTACTAGCAAATAACAATTGCACAAATGTGCATATCTATGTGTATATATTAGCATTCAAATGTCAATTCAACTATTCGATGACTTTCGAATTTTCCAACTAGATGCTATTGAACAGCAGACACAATGGATATCAGAACATATTAATCAAAAATCGAAATTTCCAGATTAAGTCATGTCAACCGGACAGTTCATTCAACAAAGAAACAATTCTCTTAGCGAACCTCCAAAGTTCAGCGCTCTCCGAGAATTGCTTGCACAGGGCATGTTTACAATTATAATGTTCGATGTGACGAACTTCACAGAACACCCCCAATCTCAGCTTCAGAAACCCTTAATTCCTCAGTGAATTCAAATAAACAACTTAGCTCTAAGATTGCAGAAACCATCATCTCAGCATAATATTCATCCCCTAAAGGATCTCTATCTTAACGTGCACAATTGTTCCTCAACGCTCTCTTCACTAATCTGCTCTGTCGAAAACTTTGATTTATTAGCCCTGACCAACTTCTATCCAACTAATTCATCAAAATCCAAGACTACAGTCCGAAATATCATACTGCGATTGAACCATGACATCATTCAAACTCCAGAACTACAGTTCGTAGATGATTCGATCGTTTTAAATCCACCATTTTTCCCCGATTCGACGCCGATTAAACACAACCAGAGATACAAATCTCAAATTATATTTCGTACATCGAACACAACACGAATTTAGCAATGAGTAAGCACAGCAACAATCGCAAAATGAGACCAACTCCCGAAAAACACAACAGGAAGGAGGTTATACAAAGCGACAAGTGGCGGATCTGAAGCATACCTTGCGAGTAGAAGAATTAAGCGAGTTCGGAGGAGATTTCGGAGCATCGTCCGGGTCATGAGGAGTGAGTCCCTGACTCAGTGAACTCGTCGTAGCTTCCTTATCCTCCGCCATCTCTCTCGCTTCTCCGGAGACGGAGCTTCGCCCGTCTGGTTTCAGCGGCTGAAATGAGCGAGGGAACAGGCTTGGACTAATCTACGCTTTTACCGCGCTGATCTCGCCTGAGGCGCACTCGTCGAATCTTAATCCTACGGTTCGAAATGAAACACGTCATCTAACGGCAACACCTAAAAATCAACGCCGTTTCTTGCTCTCAAACTGCTAAAGGTCGACGGTGGATTAACGGCGTTATAACTTCTCGGATTGCGTGAGATCCACGTGGCAATTTTTTAACCTTCGGATCTTCATCTTGTTTGCGTGGCGCACTCTAACGTGAGGTGATTGCGCCCGTCCAAACCGTCCACTTTTGCATGACTTCCCCAAATTCGACAAATTTTAATGATTTAAAAGGAAGTAATTTGGTGGTGATGGGTGGGCATTTCGGTTTTCGGTTCGGTATTCAAGCGGTTGCGGTTCAGTTTGGGAACGGTATTTTCGGTTTTATAAAAAGTGTACCAAACTATAACCGAATGTTAAACGGTTCGGTTCGGTTCGGTTTTAGTATCGGTTCGGTTCAGAACGGTATCATTATATGAATACCAAATAAGTACCGAACTATAATATTTACACATATATTAGTGGAATATTCGAATTTTAGTTCGGAATTCATACGGTTCGGTTTAGAAACGGTTCATTCGGTTCCATAAAAAGTGTACCAAATTAGAACCAAACGTTATTCGGTTCTGTAACGACCCAAAATCTGGTATTTCGGAAACCATTGAATCATCACTTAGGTTTTAAAAAGAAAGATTCGGTTTATTCTTAATACCATACTATCATCTCAAAATCTGCAGCGGAAGTCTCAATAATGAAATTCTAACATAACTCTAAAAATACTGAACTCATAAAGATAAAAATCTAAAACACCGTGTCTCTTGCAACTACCAAGTCCTACCACTTGATCTGCTTCACCTTTCACCTGTGGGGGAAAAGGAAGGGGTGAGCTACGCGAATAGCTCAGTGAAGTTGCAAGACTATAAACCTCGCCTCCGTACCCAACATAGACAATCAAATAGAAAACAAATTCAATCAACATTCAACTCAAACAAACTCCATCTATTAATTCACATTCTTCTACTGACTATTCTTTATTCAATTCTTTAAAACGAGTCCAGATTCTAGGACTATTCAGTACCCCTCAGACTTAGCTCAAAACTCTTTTATAAAACAAAACAAAAATATCGTTATAACCCTCTACGGATCGCCGCCGTAGTCGGGGTTATCAAAACACGCCCAATAGTAATAACCCTCTACGGATCGCCACCGTAGTCGGGGTTACCACTCCACATGGATCGCTCCCATGCCCGGGTCGTTATGT